TCCCATCCCATCCCCAGCATCCTCACCAAGTGGTACTCCAAGGTGGTTTTCCAGATGCCCCACCAGGAAATCGCCGACAGCCTCCGCCTCTGCCTCTCCCAAGCCCTCAAACGCTTCTACGAGGTGAGGCCAACCAAAAAAAAAAATAAACCACCCTCCCGTGGTTCCAAATCCCTCAAAACCAAGGGAAAAACATCCCAAACTTCCAGCCTGGATCCGTGCAGGGGAGCAAAGCTCAGGGCAGCCTTTGGACCAGCTCATCCTTATCTGGGGATTCGTTTGCTCTGGGGGAAGGAAGTGCCACGTTCCAGCTTTGATCCCAAAGGAAGAGCTCTGTCCCTTGTCCCCAGCCTGTGACAGGGAAAATCCCAATTTAGGAATTCCCACAGGAGCTGGGGCTGCTCATTCCTAGAAATCTGTGATGGTAGGGGCAGGGAAAATCCCAATTCAGGAATTCCCACAGGAGCTGGGGCTGCTCATTCCTATAAACCTGTGACGGGGGAAAATCCCAATTCAGGAATTGCCACAGGAGCTGGGGCTGCTCATCCCTGGAAGTCTGTGACAGGTTAGGGGCAGGGAAAATCCCAAATCAGGAATTCCCACAAGACCTGGGGCTGCTCAATCCTATAAATCTGTGATAGGGGAAAAATCCCAATTCAGGAATTCCCAAAGGAGCTGGGGCTGCTCATTCCTAGAAATCTGTGATGGTAGGGGCAGGGAAAATCCCAGTTCAGGAATTCCCACAAGAGCTGGGGCTGCTCATCCCTGGAAGCCTCAGAAATTCCTACAGGAGCTGGGCCTGCTCATCCCTGGAAATGTCCAAGGCCAGGTTGGATCAGCCTGGGATGGTGGAAAGTGTCCCTGCCATGGCTGGGGGTGGGATTAGGATGATTTTAGGATCCCTTCCCACCCAAACCGGTCTGGAATTCTGTGATTAATGCAGACACAGCCCTCCCCAAAAAAACCTTCTCTGAGTACATTTTGTGGGAACTCACTGTGAGTTAAATTCCCATCACCATCCCTGAACCCCCAATCTGCACAGGGAATATTTCCCACCTCCCTCAGCTATTCCTGTACATGACAGGGAGATAAAAATGAGAGGATTTTCCCCATTTTTCCCCCTCAGCTGAACCACTTTCTGCCCATGAAAATCGTGGTGTACCGAGACGGCGTCTCCGACCCTCAGCTGGACACRGTGCTCAAATATGAGGTGCCCCAACTCCAGAAAAGCTTCCACACTTTCCAAAATTACCAACCCAGCCTGGTGGTGGTGGTGGTGCAGAAACAGCTGAGCACCAACTTTTACTGCCTGACTGGAAAAGAGTTGGTGCCCCCTCCCCTGGGCACTGTCATCGACCACAGCGTCACCAGCAGCTCGGGGTGGTGAGTGGCAGGGCTGGGATGGGGGGAAAGGGTTAAAAAATATCCCCACGGGGGAAAAAATAAACTGGGTGTGGAAAAAATTCTGGGGAAAATGCCCCAGGGTGGAAAAAAACCACCCTAGGGGGGAAAAAATAATCTGGGTGTGGAAAAAATGGTAAGGAAAAGCACCCTGGGGGGAAAAAAATCCACCCTGGCTGCAAAAAAAACATCCTAGAGGGGAAAAAATAATCTGGGTGTAAAAAAAAAAATGGGGGGAAAGCACCCCAGGGTGGAAAAAATAATCTGGGTGTGAAAAAAATTGCAGGGAAAATGCCCCAGTGGGGAAAAAGTAACCTGGGTGTGAAAAAAATAGGGGGAAAAGCACCCCAGGGGGGAACATTATCCACCCTGGCTGCAAAAACACTACCCCAGGGTGGAAAAGATAACCTGGGTGTAAAAAAACTTCTGGGGAAAATGGCCCAGTGGGGGAAAAAAATCCACCCTGGCTGCAAAAAAACCACCCCAAGGTGTAAAAAGTGATGTTTGAAAACACCCCAGGGTGCAAAAAAGGTGTTGTTCACTACCTTGTTTTTTTTTATGAAATAAGTCACTCTGGAGTGTAAAATAACCCTCAATTAAAAAAGAAAAGGTTATAAAATCAGGTCAAGGTGCAAAAAATGGTGGTAAAAACACCCCAGGGTGCAACAAAATCCTGGGATGCAGAAAACCCCACCTTGGAGTCCAAAAAAATCACCCTGGAATGCAAAAATTAAACCCCTGGGGTTCAAAACCATAATCTGGGGTGCAAAAAAAAACCCCATTTTGGGGTTCAAAACCCTTTGAGGTGCAAAATTGTCATTTTGGGGTGTAAAATAATTAATTTGGGGTTTTTTTTTCCTCTCTCAGGCAGGATTTCTTCCTGTTGGCCCATCACTCACGGCAGGGCTGCAGCGTCCCCACGCGCTACATCTGCATGTGGAACACGGCCAAGCTCAGCTCTGAGCACCTGCAGAGGTAAAAGGGGGTTCTGAGCACCCCAAAATCCTACAGGGGAAAGGGGAGACCCTCCAAACCATCCAGGGGGAGGGCAGGAATCCCATAATCACCAAAATCCTATAGATCCCCCCAAAAATCCTACAGGGGAAAGGGGGAGAACCTCTGAACCAGCCAGGGGAAGGGCAGGAATCCCATAATCCCCAAAATCCTACAGGGGAAAGGGGGAATCCCTCTGAACCAGCCAGGGGACGGGCAGGAGTCCTGGAGTTCACAAAATCCTATAGACCCCCCAAAATCCTGCACGGGAAAGGGGAGACCCTCTGAACCAGCCAGGGGAAGGGCAGGAGTCCCATAATCACCAAAATCCTATAGCTCCCCCAAAATCCTACAAGGGAAATGGGGAGACCCTCCAAACCAGCCAGGGGAAGGGCAGGAGTCCCATAATCACCAAAATCCTATGGACTCCCCCAAAATCCTACAGGGGAAAGGGGAGACCCTCTGAACCATCCAGGGGGAGGCAGGAGTCCCAGAGTCCCCAAAATCCTATTCCCAGAGTCCCCAAAATCTTATAGCCCCCCCCAAATTCTTCAGGGGAAAAAAGCAGGAATCCCAGAGCTCCTGAATATCCTACAGCCCCCAAAATCCTTCAGGGGAAAGGGGGACACCCTCCAAACCA